ATGCAGTAGTCTTTAGGGCCTGTCTACATGGAGGTGGGGGACCCCAGATAGGTATGCGGGGGTTCACCCCACCTATCATGTAAACGGGATCAAATTAAAATGAGAGATTATGTGGACAGGCGGGTTACCCACCAAAGCGGGTTACCTCACCTACCTGGAGTCCCCCACCTCCATGTAAACAGGCCCTTAGACTTCTCGTTTTTTGTTCTTAATATTTTAGCTGATTAGATCTCCAGAGATCCAACGTTGACAAGCAACAGGATCTTCGTCCACGGTTTTTGCAGTAAATTTCTTTGGAAAAAATGAAGTATGAAAAACGTTTTAAGGCTTACAACTTTTTTTTCGTTTTTATTTTGTCCCTTCACAAGCAATTTATTTGTAAACGTTAAGTTACACAGTGCATAAGGAAATGTACCGAAGCTTACTAATTTTTTTCTCCAAAATGCCTTATTTGAAGGCGGCGCTTGAAACCATAGTAATACCTCTTAGTACCGTATTTACGCGAATAAGCTCCGCAGCGCTTATTAAATTCCCCCAAATGCGGTGCTTATTGGAGTAATTACCGTAATTTGCAACTTAAGAGTTTATTACATTTAGGACAAAATGTTATTACATTTAGGACTTTATTTCATTTAGGACAAAATGTTATTACATTTAGGGTCGTTTATTACATTTAGGCCTTCAGTGTTCAGTTCAAAAGCAACACAGCTGACTCGTTCGATCAGGAAAGACGCTGAATGTGAGCAAAAAATAACACAGGTATCACAGGGTGGTGCTAAAATATGGTTCGACATATTAACATGTTAACTTGAGACAAAACCCTACCCATGACGATAACGTCCACCGTTTTGGAGCTATTTCCTGCATCACTTTTTGCCAGAATTGTGTAGTTTCCCGTCTGAGTGAATTTAAGTCCTTTCACCACTGGCCCACCCTCCAAACGTGTAGATGAGTTGGCTAACCAAGCTTGAATGGGTGGAGTGCCTTCCAGCAGGAACCAGGTATAATGCTCTGGTACACTGTGTACTACTGACAGCGGAATCCTTATCTTCGGCATATCTATAAATTGAAATAAGCAATGCTCGTCTTTAATGGCGAGGAAAGTTATGCTCTTCCCTATAAAATGAGTGACTGACTTTTGGAGACATCCGTTGTGTTAAAACAATTGACAAGGAACATGGGCAAACTCATTACTTCTTGCCTTCGAGAAAGAATCATTACGGAGAGCAGGTGAGATACTTAACGCTGTTTAGAACATGCTTTAGAAAATTCAGTGGCGTATGTGACCTAGCGGTTAACACCTTGAACTAATTTTGCAGTCTACAAAGTCAAACTCCCCTTTGCGTGTTGTGTATTTTAATTCCGTTAAATGTGCGCTAGACTTCAACTACAATTATCAACGCAACAACAAAAAGAATGTAATAACAACATATATTACAAAAAGGCTAAGTCATTTTGGCAAAGTTACGATGTCTGTCGGTAAAATAATCGAAGAATTTCTTTTCGGCGAGAATGAAAAAAAGAGTTAATTTGTAAACACAGGCGCAAATCACACGCCATGCTTAAATCATTTTGAGGCATTTCGCTCACGTGTCATCCTGACACAGTCCGCGAAAGGAAAAAAATCACAACACATTACTGAGGAATTTAACACTGACAATCAAAACGTAATGAAAGAACACTTTTTATTCAAGACAGCAAGTCAGAGTGACTGAAATGCTTCTGAAGACTTGTGTTTTCTTTGTGTCTGTTAGTTTGTTTTTTAGCCGGCATGGCGTTTAAAAAGGATAAACGCGCCTCAGAGCAGGACTGTACCTGATTACCCTTACCTTTTCTGGCAATCACCAGAATCACTGGGCATTTTCTTAAAAATTTTTCTTTCCATTTGCGACCAAAAAATTAATTTAAGCTGGTGTATAATATTAACGCGAGGCCATTGAAATCGTCTCTCTGTCTCAAGTCTTTAGTACATGTCATGACATGAAATAATAATAATTACCCCATGATTAACAACAAAAGAATTATAGCCGTGGTGAGAAAATGAGAAATATTAGCGGCCAGTAAGGTGAAAATGAGCGGAAGTGAAAAAGAAAGCGAAAACATGTAACTAGAAAGTTTCACGTTGTAGTCGTGGAACAACAACCGCAGAGAAATTTATAAAAAAGTGTTTTCACTTGCAAAGTTGTTTTTTTTGCCAATTATACCTATTGTTGTTGCTGTTATTGTTGATGTTGTTGTTGTTTTTTTTTTGCCGTTCTCAATGCCGTCGCCGTTTACCATTACACGATTTTGTGAGTAAATTGAATGTATAAGTATAGTAAAGAGAGATTCGCTTTTAGCCCTGGCTAAATCTATTTATTATTTCATTTTGTGGCAGCTCTACAATTAAGAACACGATAATTTTAAAACAGTAGGTAACTGAAATGACAAAAAGGCTTCAGTCGTTGGCAAGTAGTCTGTCGGCGAACAAATTTCTAGATGCTTCATCAGTTTTCCCCCATGAATTCAACTGTCAAACTTTTGTCCAGGGGTGGGAGGGGAGAGACTAGGTTGCTCCTGGAGCGTGACCAAAAGCGTGATCAAGCAAAAAACAAAGCCTTAGAAATTTCTTCCCCAAAATTTTGCCATCAGTTGAGCACAAGAAAAATCAATCTGGATTTTTCACAAATAAAGAGACGATTAATTCATAATATGGATAATTTTATTGGAATAATCATACGTTTATCTTTACAAGCCATTCGAGTTTTACTTACCGCCTTGTCAAGTACTCCACGCAAATATAATGTCGAGCGTAATGACTGTCGAGCGTATGCAAATTTCAAATCTCAAATCTAAAATGGTTGATTTTGCACCCAAACGAAACGCTTTCCTACCCCACTGAGTTTTTTATACACCTACCCTCAGAGTCTGTATGGACGGTCGGCGTTCGATGGTACGCTAACGTTATAACTAAATTTTCTCGGACCCATAGGTTTCCCCAATTTTCTTTAGGTCTGAGGTTTCGCTCGGACGGTCCGCTCTTCATTTTCGACCCCAGTGCTTACGCTTCTNGTCCAGGGGTGGGAGGGGAGAGACTAGGTTGCTCCTGGAGCGTGACCAAAAGCGTGATCAAGCAAAAAACAAAGCCTTAGAAATTTCTTCCCCAAAATTTTGCCATCAGTTGAGCACAAGAAAAATCAATCTGGATTTTTCACAAATAAAGAGACGATTAATTCATAATATGGATAATTTTATTGGAATAATCATACGTTTATCTTTACAAGCCATTCGAGTTTTACTTACCGCCTTGTCAAGTACTCCACGCAAATATAATGTCGAGCGTAATGACTGTCGAGCGTATGCAAATTTCAAATCTCAAATCTAAAATGGTTGATTTTGCACCCAAACGAAACGCTTTCCTACCCCACTGAGATTTTTATACACCTACCCTCAGAGTCTGTATGGACGGTCGGCGTTCGATGGTACGCTAACGTTATAACTAAATTTTCTCGGACCCATAGGTTTCCCCAATTTTCTTTAGGTCTGAGGTTTCGCTCGGACGGTCCGCTCTTCATTTTCGACCCCAGTGCTTACGCTTCTGATTCCGCGCGTAAGCTCTGAGAAACTCTGCGCCGACGTAGCCAATATCTATTTATTCTATTTGGACCCCACAGCGCATGCTCCTCTATCTAACCTAAACTTTGCTTCGATTGAACTCTACATCTACTTCATTGTAAAGTGTTGTGCTCCTTCGAAATTACAACTGAAAAAACGATGCCTTCAAAGAATTTTCAGGTACTTAACCCCTTTGTGGTAACTGCTAGTAAAAAAATAACGCTTAACATTCAAAGATTTGAGATTGGAAATTTGCATATGCTCGAAGTCGATTATATTTGAGTGGACTACTTGACGAGGCGGTAAGTGAAACCCGAATGGCTTGTAAAAATAAGCGTATGTTTATTCCAATAAAATTATCCAAATTATGAATTAATCGTCTCTTTATTTGTTTGTACATACACACTAACGCTTCAATAAAGCTACTTTGAAATGTGATATCGTGGGAAACGAATACAACTAGAAATATGCAGGTCTATTCTAGTCGCATAGTACACACACAGAAACATATATTGTTCTGACACGCATCACCGATATATTTTTATATTCTATTTACCTTTTACTTACAAGTCTGTTTTTAGACAATTTACCAGATGAAGCTAATGTTTTCACATTCAAGTCTTTTTGTTGGTCAATTTTCGAGCTGTAGCTAATGTATTTTATTGAAAATTGATGAATTTAGTTATTCTACCTAAACATAGTCGCTCAGATGTTGCTTTGGAATCGCTGAAATCGAGAATCGGCCGGGCGTGTTTACTTCAGCATTTCCAGGAAAAACCCGCTTACGCGTTAAGCACGCCGCAAGTTCACCCGCTTTCCCACAAACTTGAATGGACCAATCAGAAACACCTTTATTCTTTTGTATTGAAACCAATCAGGGACGGTCTTGCTCCAGGGTTTCTCAGAGCTCTTTTCTCCCTGACCGTCATGCGCAGAAGAGCTCTTGGGTCTGTTATAGAATCTCGTGGAGGGAAAACAATAGAAATGTGGTGGCGGTGGTGGTGTTGGAGGGCAAACAATAGAAATGTGGTGGTGGTGGGGAGAAAACATTAGAAATGTGGTGGCGGTGGTGGTGGTGGAGGGAAAACAATACAAATGTGGTGGCGGTAGTGGTGGTGGTGTTGGAGGGCAAACAATAGAAATGTGGTGGTGGTGGAGGGAAAACAATTGAAATGTGGTGACGGTGGTGGTGGTGGTGGTGGTAGAAAGAAAAACAATAGAAATGTGGTGGTGGTGGTCTGGGGGGAGGAAAAGAATTGAATTTTATGGTCTGAAAACCTATATAATTGCGCAACATTCTACCTCTTTCTTAGTCTACATTTTGCTCCTGAGGAGTTGACATGAGTTGGTTCTGTTCTGTCTGCGAAAAATCCTTTAGTAGAAAAGATAGTATGCAAAGACACGTGATGTCCAAACACCGCAATGTTGATCTCACCCCATTTCAAACAGTTCGGATGTTTTCACAGAGATGTCAGCGGTTTCGCTTCGAGCATCCTTTCACCTCCATGATTGCCGGAATGACCGGGTCAGGAAAAACTGCCTGGGTTCGATCTCTATTGCAACAAGCTTCAGAGCCCATTTACCCTCCCCCGGAGAGGATCGTTTGGTGTTATTCACAATGGGAGCCTGGGTATACACAAATGTTAGTCGCCATGCCACACATTGAATTCGTCAAGGGAATTCCTACGGCTTTGGAGCAGGATGCCTATTTTGATGTGAACAAACGGAATTTGATCGTGTTTGATGATCAGGAGATTGACGCCAGCAAAGACAAGCGAATTGTGAACCTCTTTACTCGTGGTTCTCATCATCGCAATCTGAGCGTGATTTATATCGTGCAGAATCTATTTCATCAGGGGAAAGGAAGCCGCAGCATAAGCCTAAACAGCCATTATCTGGTGTTATTCAAGAATCCACGAGACAAATTGCAAATCTTGACTCTGGCGAAGCAAATGTATCCCGGGCAGACAGATTTCTTTTTAAATCAGTAAGAAGAGGCCGTAGAAAGACCTTTTGGTTATCTTCTGATTGATCTGAAAACTACGACCCAAGAAAATATTCCTCAAGAGCTTCTAAAATATCTGAAGCTGCAAGCTCTTTCGCCTGTCCCCCTTCTTCCAGCTATGCAAGAAATAAAAGGCAACATGGATGACGTGCTTTCTCGAAACAATCTTCGGGAGTAAGCGATACTTTCAGTTGCAAAACAGATACCTGGCTTTTAAAGAACAATTAAATACAAGAACACGACCGGAAGAAATAATCAGCACTGTTCCAGACTTAACATCAAGGACGCAAGATTCTTCGACAGCAACGACAGCATTCTCCACTCCCCTCAACCCCTTTAATGTAACACCTGAATTAACACAAGCGGCTATCTCTCAAAAACCTGACAAAGAAAGCCTCACCCCTCCACCACCCTTAAATCCTGCTTTCCTGACCCCTCCTCCCACAGTAGAAACCCCATCACAACAAGGCCCGAAGCGCAAAAGGCGTCGGATTCAATTTGTAAATTATTTGCATGATCATAAAGCGCATGCCAAACAGCTGAGGAAACGTCGGCATAAGAAATTCAAACCTTACAAGTACTCCATTGGCAAAGAAGATGAAGATTAATTAATTTCCATTCCTTACAAATCGCTGTGTATTTTACTCTTTTTGTCATTGTTTTTAATGAAGTTTTTAAAACGGTATCTCTCTTGTGGTTTTATTGCTAACAATTATTAGTCGCGTGTTTTAATTGATCCTTGTTAAATTATTTCAAATTGTTTATTTAAGCAATAACCACACTTTCTATGAGTTTACCGGCGTGATAACCCACTCTTCGAGTGTTCTCCCAACATCCCAAGTGGGTTATCACGCCGGTAAACTCATAGAAAGTGTGGTCTATTGCTTTTATAAAATAACTTTTAGTAGAATGGAGTCTTCTAGGTAAAAATATGGTTTTACTACCGTGATCAAGACATGTCTTCTCTCTAAAGTCATCATAAGCCAATCATGACTCACGAGTACCTTTTTGGCCACAAAATTATTACAGATTTCACAAATTTATCGTCTTATAAGAAAGAAAGGATCATGTAAACTATTCGTGTTTTTCAAAGGCTGCCAAATCGTTTTGGTTTGATGACGTACGAGTCAATGAAATTTGTGTAAACTTTCTCTTTACCGAAAGTGGATTTTGAGCTCCGAACGGGCAAAATGAGTTTTCTCGAATTTTGACAAAAGAACACGTTATCTGGGAAAACTAACTGCAGCATGTTTCATTACTCATTAAAGGTTATCGAGAAGCCAAAAATGAGCGAAATTCGAATTTTGAATTTGTGCCACAAAAGGTCGATTTTGGTCGATATTTACAGACAGTCGCTCTTAAAACCGTTAATTAGACTTTTACTTCTTCACCATAAAAAAAAAACACCTTACCATGAAAGATAATTTTCTCGCCTCTCCTTCTCGCGCCCTCAGTTACACGCATGGCCATTTTCTTGTCTCGCGCGTTTTACTCGACAGACTAAAAAAAGAGGATTCTCGTAGTCTAGGCCTTGATAACCGAAACTATAAGTTGATCATACGGGGATGTTGACAAATCGTTATTTCGATTATCTCAAAAAAATAGCAGGATTTTTTCTTAGTCCGGATTAAAAGCTTTACACTAATTTTTTTTACCTAAAAACAGGTTATTTCATTAACTTTTATTAATTGATTCTGAATTATACCACAGAAAAACTACTCCTTGAAATATGACTTAAAATATGATTTACAACGATATTTTACGAGAGGTTTTTAAAGATATTCTGAGAAGACAAACTAAGTTAAAAAAACTTAATGCTTTATTCAGTTGTCAATACATCGACGTAAATGAGTTGTATCCTAGGATTCCTTTCGTGCTTTTGGCGAACAATGGTCTGGATGTCCATTATCCCTTACCCGTTATCCGTGTCCGTTATGTCCGCTCTTATCTCGGATATTTTATTGCGGTGAGCACGAATTAAAGAACAGTGATGGAATTTTAGATAGATAGGGTATTTCTGTACGAAATGTTAGGAGTCATTTTGTTCTTTCACGAGGCCCTCTTACAATGTCAAGTAAGAAATACATTCTTCATTCATCTATCTGTATAGAAGACTGAAATTGGATGTTGATTATAAAGTCATGAGATATAGCTTAACTATTCTAACCAAAGAGGTCTTTTCATAATTCACCCTTCGAATTTTTCTCGAAAAGTTGTAAATTGTTTCCTTAGGGACGGACCATTAGAAAAGTGATGGGGGGGGGGGGGGGGGGGGAAAAAAAAAAAAAAAAATT